CTTTGATTTCCAACAACGTTCTGTAAAAAACTGGTGCTAGAATCGTCCAGAATTCTTTCTAGAATTCTGCAGGAAAGCCTACACATTTTCTGAGAAGTGCTCTTGCCATTTACTTCTGCTCTTAGCCAATACTTCGGTTTACTGACGTAGTTCAAGCGTAGGCTGCACTAAACGAGAGATTTCCGAGTGTTCCTGAAAGCAACACAATAATTGCTGAGTCGTCACGTGCTACACGGATGCGGAAGTGCGAAACTGTTGTTTTGCTAAACGAGTGGCTATCGTCGACACATTTTTTTTCCATTATACTGTTTTTGTGGTCTTAAACAACACTCATGGTCAGGTGAGACTGTCTTTCTAGTAAAACAAGTCTTTAAACGGGTATGGCTATGCTCACGGATATTCTGCATTTAGGATTAAGAGGTGTCAGATGTCGGGTTATTTCATTACGGAGATCAGCTGTTTGAAATATAATATCTTCAGCAATTTGGGTGCAGATTTATTTACCGTTCGAGCTATTAGCTTTTAGAAAATTCTGACCAGCTGAAGACGATAAAAAAGAGTCCACATAGTGCTGTGGTTAAAGAAATGATATAATATTCCTGCGCCGACATGTGAGAGTCAGGCGTGAAGTGTGTGTGTGTGTGTGTGTGTGTCAGTGTGTCAGTGTCAGTCAGAGACAGCGAGAGAGATTGCCATATGACATAAGCCCTCATAAATTTGATACTCAGCATGGTATTTTTAACAATATTGTTTGTCAGGAATGCAATCCTTACTATGAGAATATGCCATTACAACACAGTGGTACAGTTTGATTCAACTTTGTTGCTCTCTTGCTTTGCAGGATGACACAGAAGCACTGCCTGGAGGGCCAGGTGTACTCGGTGCCTCTCATCCAGCCCGACCTGAGGAGGGAGGAGGCTGTTCATCAGATAGCGGACGCACTGATGTACTTGGAGAACATTTCTACAGACATCTTCAGAAGGCAAGCCCAACACACACACACACACACACACACACACACATACAGTTTCCAGTTTCCAGGTTGGTCTCGCAGTGTTTGACTCTTGGTTGTAAACTGAATCACTGGGTCTGCAGTCTTTTTCTTTGTTTACATTTTCATGGTTGCAAATACGGGATGAATATGAAATTAATAGGGAAATTACATTGTTGTTTGTGGTTACATTGTAGTAATACAATGTATTATACAAATTCATTATTATTGATATTGTTTTATTCCTTCAGTTTATACCACTACATTTTATTCAGGGTAGGAGTGAGCCAGATGTTATTCCAGAGCCTGTTTCAGGGATTGTTTCATTTTTAGTGTCATTTATTTAAAGATTACTTTGATCAATTTTAGCTTATCAGATTTTCAAAATGGCAAAAAGTTTTAAAGCTACAGAGTTTTTAAAAAACTCAACAGTAGTGATCTCTGCATTTGCTCAGGCTAGGTAGCAAAGAGTGTTTAACAACAAAAGAACAGGTTTTAATAACGCACAAAATGAATTGGTAGCAGATACAGCAGCTGTTGCAAGTTTGCTGATGGGCCAAAAAGCTTTGTCATATTTAATAGATTGCACCGTTAACAAACAGCAGCTGCTTGAGGACAGATGGTCCTGTCTGGCACCCTGAAAACGGAGGAGGTGTTGCCTGTGACAGCATGGAAACAATAACATTTATGAACAGAACAGTTTTGGCCATGTAAACTTTTGAAACATGAGCTTTTTATAAGTAGATCACTGATAAAACATGAGAGTGGCATTTGATACTTATACATAATCTCAATGAATTGTAAGAGTCTTCAGTTCCTTTTGGGGGGTTTCGGGACTCTGCAGGATATATAATAAAGAACTGGATTGTGCCGTATCCTTGACATACGGTTATCCTTTGTGTGTAGATGTGCATATGCCCATATTCAGTTGTTGTTGCTTGCAGGGTGTCAGACAGTGTCGAGAAAAACCGTCACCAGCTCAAGAGCATCACTGACCGGATCAGACTAGCTCAGGCCCGTGTCGACAAGATTAAAGGCAGCAAGAAAGCCACCAAGGTAACACTGAATCTTCACCCTAGAAGGCAGCTTTTTAAGTTCTGATACAGAATATAGGAGAAAAAAAGAGTAAAAATGTTCTTTTATGTGCATATAGGTTTTCTCCAGTGCCAAGTACCCAGCCCCAGATCAACTTCAGGACTACTTGTCTATCTTCGTTGGAGCTACAGACCCCTCTTCACAAACCCGGCCCCGACACAGAATACAGAATAAACTGCGACCCTTTGATGAAAAGGCTTTGCAGGTGAGATCAACACATTAAAATGTTGGGGGGGAAAAGAGCAAAGTTTTTGAAAAGCAATTTTCAAAATTATGAAAATGATGACTGTGACTTGCTAAGAGCCACATTGCATATTTTATTTTCACAAAGTGTTCTAAAGCTGATGTCTTAAAAGAGTTTGCTGACTAGTTAGTGTTGCTGCTTCTTTGTTCAGCTCATGCTGCTAAAACAGCAGGTAGAAAACAGGAATATGGACACGGTTAACTTTATTTACATAGCTTTTATCCACACCTCACGTTCTAGTCAAATGAGGGCATGGGGACTCTGCGCACGCTGGTCATATGTATGCAGACTGCTGGGCAAACCACTTTAAAGCTTTAGAGCATTTGCAGGAGTCTTGGTCTTGGATATATCCATAGTGATGTGGCTAATACCTTAAATTACACACATTTTATTTTGACCTGATTTAAAACTTTGATATTTCAAGTGAATGCTTGACTGGATGTGAATGCCCTGTAAACCTTGTGAAGCATGTTTATGCATAAATCTCCACTCGGCCTGCGTATTTCCTGTTTTGCTAAGTAAACATTTTCAGGCCAAGTAGGTTATGTTGTCTGTTTAAAAAATACTGCAAAGTAGTACACAGCAGCCAATTGTATGTGCACTCTGTTGCTTTTACTTGCAATTTAGTACTTATTCAGGAGGTAAAATGGAGGTGAAAACAACATAGACTTGTAGAAAAATGCAGCTTGTCAATCATGTATCGAAAGCCGCAACAGGCATGTCCCTTCTTTTCTGTAGATTTAACTACACATGAGTCATAGTTGAAGTTGTCACATACTGTATGTGATGTATGTAAATGGGATATCAGAACCCAGCTGTATTTGTGTCACTGCACAGTGACAAGAGATGTGTTCCCCCCCCCAAGTGGTTCTTGTGTGTATGTGCTCTGCTCAGCACAAGTTCCTGCATTATTTATAGCAAAAACCACAGTTTTTCCTTCACCGTTACAGAAAACTTAACAGGAAAAAATATAAAAATAATATTTTTTCCTGCCTGTGCTTGCACGTGTTTGTGTATCTGTGTGTATTTGTCGGCTTGGGAAGGGAACAAAAAAGAAAATAGAGCTGGCATTTGTCTCTGATGCAGAAATGCATTATTCAGTACCCCCCTCAAAAGAAGCAATGCCCCCTAACATATACAGTGGGGCAAAAAAGTATTTAGTCAGCCACCGATTGTGCAAGTTCCCCCACCTAAAATGATGACAGAGGTCAGTAATTTGCACCAGAGGTACACTTCAACTGTGAGAGACAGAATGTGAAAAAAAAATCCATGAATCCACATGGTAGGATTTGTAAAGAATTTATTCGTAAATCAGGGTGGAAAATAAGTATTTGGTCAATAACAAAAATACAACTCAATACTTTGTAACATAACCTTTGTTGGCAATAACAGAGGTCAAACGTTTACTATAGGTCTTTACCAGGTTTGCACACACAGTAGCTGGTATTTTGGCCCATTCCTCCATGCAGATCTTCTCGAGAGCAGTGATGTTTTGGGGCTGTCGCCGAGCAACACGGACTTTCAACTCCCGCCACAGATTTTCTATGGGGTTGAGGTCTGGAGACTGGCTAGGCCACTCCAGGACTTTCAAATGCTTCTTACGGAGCCACTCCTTTGTTGCCCGGGCGGTGTGTTTTGGATCATTGTCATGTTGGAAGACCCAGCCTCGTTTCATCTTCAAAGTTCTCACTGATGGAAGGAGGTTTTGGCTCAAAATCTCACGATACATGGCCCCATTCATTCTGTCCTTAACACGGATCAGTCGTCCTGTCCCCTTGGCAGAAAAACAGCCCCATAGCATGATGTTTCCACCCCCATGCTTCACAGTAGGTATGGTGTTCTTGGGATGCAACTCAGTATTCTTCTTCCTCCAAACACGACGAGTTGAGTTTATACCAAAAAGTTCTACTTTGGTTTCATCTGACCACATGACATTCTCCCAATCCTCTGCTGTATCATCCATGTGCTCTCTGGCAAACTTCAGACGGGCCTGGACATGCACTGGCTTCAGCAGCGGAACACGTCTGGCACTGCGGGATTTGATTCCCTGCCGTTGTAGTGTGTTACTGATGGTGACCTTTGTTACTTTGGTCCCAGCTCTCTGCAGGTCATTCACCAGGTCCCCCCGTGTGGTTCTGGGATCTTTGCTCACCGTTCTCATGATCATTTTGACCCCACGGGATGAGATCTTGCGTGGAGCCCCAGATCGAGGGAGATTATCAGTGGTCTTGTATGTCTTCCATTTTCTGATGATTGCTCCCACAGTTGATTTTTTCACACCAAGCTGCTTGCCTATTGTAGATTCACTCTTCCCAGTCTGGTGCAGGTCTACAATACTTTTCCTGGTGTCCTTCGAAAGCTCTTTGGTCTTGGCCATGGCGGAGTTTGGAGTCTGACTGTTTGAGGCTGTGGACAGGTGTCTTTTATACAGATGATGAGTTCAAACAGGTGCCATTCATACAGGTAACGAGTGGGGGACAGAAAAGCTTCTTACAGAAGACGTTACAGGTCTGTGAGAGCCAGAGATTTTCCTTGTTTGAGGTGACCAAATACTTATTTTCCACCCTAATTTACGAATAAATTCTTTACAAATCCTACCATGTGGATTCATGGATTTTTTTTTCACATTCTGTCTCTCACAGTTGAAGTGTACCTCTGGTGCAAATTACTGACCTCTGTCATCATTTTAGGTGGGGGAACTTGCACAATCGGTGGCTGACTAAATACTTTTTTGCCCCACTGTAACTTGGTGTTGTAGTTTGTGTGCATCTATGTGCAGGAGCACTTTGATGACATTTACGATATGCGTTGCTAAAGATTTCGTTAACATTTTCTTGATCTCCTTCTCACTCCAAGTCCTGCTTTCTTCCTTTCAGGAGAAGTTAATGTATTTCCCTGTGTGCGTGAGAAATAAGAAGAAGACTGAGGATGAGACAGAAGAAGGATTGGGCAGTCTGCCGCGTAACATCTCATCTGTCAGCTCTCTTTTGCTCTTTAATACCACAGAAAATCTGTGAGTCTGCACACGCCAGCACAGACACAGATGTTTATTGTAAACACTGACTGATTTCAATGTTCTCTCGTATGTTTTAATTTGTGTCTTATTTTTTTAAAGATATAAGAAATATGTGTTTCTTGATCCTTTGGCGGGAGCAGTGACAAAAACGCACACAACACTAGAGACGGAAAAAGAAGATAAACCATTCGATGCTCCTCTGTCCATTACAAAGAGAGAGCAACTGGAGAGACAGGTACCTTCTGACTTTTCCTTTTTTTTCTGTGAAGGATCAGATCTGTTAAAACTTAATCATGGTTTTCTTTTTCTCTTAACAGATAGCAGAGAGTTATTTCTATGTGCCAGACCTGGGTCAAGTGCCTGAGATAGATGTGCCGTCCTACCTGCCAGACCTGCCAGGTATTGCAGACGACCTGTCTTACAGCGCAGACCTCGGACCTGGATTTGCCCCCTCGGGACCCACACACAACATCCCCGAGCTGCCCTGCTTCTCTGAGGAGAGCAGTGCACCAGGTAGATGTCTTATGTTGTGAACCTCAATCATTTTGTGCCCATTTGTCTTTTACTGTGAAGCTTTTTGTGATATCTGAAAAGATGCTACATAAATAGATCAAATTTTCTTCCACTGTTATACAGTATTTCATCTGCTTGTTTCAGGAACTCAGCTCCAGCTTGATGGCACACCACCTCCGCCACCTCCCCCGCCCCCTCCTCCGGAGCCTTCCCTCCCTCCCGCAGCTCCGGCGTCAGCTCCTCCTCCGCCACCTCCACCACCCCCTCCTGCAGACAGCTCCGCAGAAGTTTCCCAAGTGCCAAGTTCAGGTTTGTCACATTTATGCACGTCAGTAGTCTCGTACAGGCTCTACACTGCTGACTTGGAGCGAACCTGACAGTGTCTTAAAGCCTGTTCCCTCAGTTATGCACACGCACACACAGACTAAATGATGTTTGTCCTCATAAATTAGATTGACCTCAGTGATGTAAACCCAGACCACACCGACTCACTGGCTCCTCTAAATACAGGTCCTGTGTCGGGTGCACCCAGCGAGGTGGTCCAGCCGTCAGATGGCCGTGCCAGCCTGCTGGAGTCTATCCGCAACGCCGGGGGCATCGGCAAAGCCAAGTTACGCAACGTTAAGGAACGCAAGCTGGAGAAGAAGAAACAAAAGGAGCAAGAACAAGGTGTCAGATGGTTTGAGCGTGGATGTGGTTCTGCCCATGTTTTATTAATGAGCACACGGCAGTCATGCAGTCAAAGTGGAGCGTGACCAGCCCCTAATTAGTATTCAACCAGGAGTTTATACAGTATTTCACACTGAATGTTAAGATGAGATCGTTTTTGACTACCACATATGCTTAACTGTGTGACTTCAGTTTCATACCAACCAACGATTGTACTTAAAAACTGTTTTACCTAATATTAGACAGCATATCTCTGGCCCTTTCATTTTCTCGCCAGGTCATGACCTTACATTTCTTTCTTTTTTCAAGAGAACTGCCTTGACTGAATAACTAGATTAAGAAAAAAAAAAAGTCTTGCAATTATATGCTTCACTTTGAAGTGCAGCACTGGGGAATTAGTGAGACATAATCTCTTCCAATTGCAAATTTAAAAAAATACTGGTAGCATGATTATTTATTTACTCACTTTTTTTTTCTCCTTCTAAAATAGCAGTGGGAGCGGCCGCCGGTGGTGGAGACTTTATGTCTGATCTCTTCAACAAACTTGCTATGCGACGAAAAGGTTAGAGGCCCGTTTTATGTCAAATGAAATTGAAAATACTGATATTAGTGATTGAATTTGCATAATGTCTTCTATCCTCTGTTCAGGAATATCTGGTAAGGGTCCAGCTGGTGGAGAGTCAGGTGATGCTCCGGCCGGTCCTTCTGGGGCATTTGCGAGGATGTCAGATGTCATCCCTCCACTTCCTGCCCCACATACAGCGACAACAGACGATGACGACTGGGAAGCGTAATGGACAAACACCACATTCGATGCCCTTTGATACAGTTATTTAAAATGATTTAATTTCCTTCTAACACAGAAATACTATTAAAAAAAATGGAAAATGCAAATGATCAAACAATTTACTGATGTTTAATTTAAGCAGAACATGTTAAACGATGATGATGGAACGGATCTGCAGGCTTTGCATTACATAACACATTGCTTTGAATTCTACGAATATTTCAAACTTCAGGAGTAAATCAGTCACATGTATTTGCTATGCCAGCGCTGTGCCTGATATGTGTGGTAGCTGTTCAGTAAGTAGTTTTTAACAAGCCAAACTTAAAAATAGATGAGAAGTCATTTTCTTTTATGAGATTCAGACCGATAACCCTGACTAGAAGTGTTAATTGCCCCGTTAGCCTTTGTTTGCATCGTGCCATCAAATTCATCATTCTCCAACCATTAAATAAAACGAGATGTAGAGTGTACAAAAAATGAAATATATAATAAATATGAAAACTGAAAAACTGCCTGACTGATTTTTTTTTTTTTTTTAAACCAGCAGCACTCACAAGGGTGCAAGATGTTCAAAAGCCTGTGGTGTGATATTGAACTTTGTGTCTCTTCCCCCCCCCTCTTGCAGTTGCACATCATTTTCTTATCCTAACACAAGTCTCCGTGAATATTAGGGAGATGTTAGTTGGGTCCTTTGGGAGAGGAACTATGCTTGTTTCTGCTTCTTTTCCAGGAAGAACTAGGAAAGAAGAACATACAGACACAATATGAAAATTTAAAATGTCAATCATGAAGGGGACGTTTTTAACAATACAGGGAGTGCAGAATTATTAGGCAAATGAGTATTTTGTCCACATCATCCTCTTCATGCATGTTGTCTTACTCCAAGCTGTATAGGCTCGAAAGCCTACTACCAATTAAGCATATTAGGTGATGTGCATCTCTGTAATGAGAAGGGGTGTGGTCTAATGACATCAACACCCTATATCAGGTGTGCATAATTATTAGGCAACGTCCTTTCCTTTGGCAAAATGGGTCAAAAGAAGGACTTGACAGGCTCAGAAAAGTCAAAAATAGTGAGATATCTTGCAGAGGGATGCAGCAGTCTCAAAATTGCAAAGCTTCTGAAGCGTGATCATCGAACAATCAAGCGTTTCATTCAAAATAGTCAACAGGGTCGCAAGAAGCGTGTGGAAAAACCAAGGCGCAAAATAACTGCCCATGAACTGAGAAAAGTCAAGCGTGCAGCTGCCAAGATGCCACTTGCCACCAGTTTGGCCATATTTCAGAGCTGCAACATCACTGGAGTGCCCAAAAGCACAAGGTGTGCAATACTCAGAGACATGGCCAAGGTAAGAAAGGCTGAAAGACGACCACCACTGAACAAGACACACAAGCTGAAACGTCAAGATGGCCAAGATATCTCAAGACTGGTTTTTCTAAGGTTTTATGGACTGATGAAATGAGAGTGAGTCTTGATGGGCCAGATGGATGGGCCCGTGGCTGGATTGGTAAAGGGCAGAGAGCTCCAGTCCGACTCAGACGCCAGCAAGGTGGAGGTGGAGTACTGGTTTGGGCTGGTATCATCAAAGATGAGCTTGTGGGGCCTTTTCGGGTTGAGGATGGAGTCAAGCTCAACTCCCAGTCCTACTGCCAGTTTCTGGAAGACACCTTCTTCAAGCAGTGGTACAGGAAGAAGTCTGCATCCTTCAAGAAAAACATGATTTTCATGCAGGACAATGCTCCATCACACGCGTCCAAGTACTCCACAGCGTGGCTGGCAAGAAAGGGTATAAAAGAAGAAAAACTAATGACATGGCCTCCTTGTTCACCTGATCTGAACCCCATTGAGAACCTGTGGTCCATCATCAAATGTGAGATTTACAAGGAGGGAAAACAGTACACCTCTCTGAACAGTGTCTGGGAGGCTGTGGTTGCTGCTGCACGCAATGTTGATGGTGAACAGATCAAAACACTGACAGAATCCATGGATGGCAGGCTTTTGAGTGTCCTTGCAAAGAAAGGTGGCTATATTGGTCGCTGATTTGTTTTTGTTTTGTTTTTGAATGTCAGAAATGTATATTTGTGAATGTGGAGATGTTATATTGGTTTCACTGGTAAAAATAAATAATTGAAATGGGTATATATTTGTTTTTTGTTAAGTTGCCTAATAATTATGCACAGTAATAGTCACCTGCACACACAGATATCCCCTTAAAAGAGCTACAACTAAAAACTACTTCCAAAAACATTCAGCTTTGATATTAATGAGTTTTTTTGGGTTCATTGAGAACATGGTTGTTCAATAATAAAATTATTCCTCAAAAATACAACTTGCCTAATAATTCTGCACTCCCTGTAATGTTCCTCACCTTTCGTAAGGCAGCAAAAGCAGGGCCAAACGTCGTGTGCGTGGTAGTGCGATCTTTAATCCATGTGGGAAGTTTAGAGAGCGTAGCAGGCCGGGAGTAACGCCTGTCACACAGCACAACGGAGGAATAATCGCCCCGATGACGAATAGCTCTTCCTTTGAACAGAGGATATCACGCACAAGTTAATAAAACTGTATTTTGATATTGATATGTATTAATATGACTTCATTATCTGTACCTATAGACTGATTGACAGCCTTCATGCAGAGGTTTTCTATTAGAGCTTGTCCTGGACTCCTCCCCTGACTGTGAGGCTGAAATAGAAAAAAAAGATGAGATTTGATACTAAGCTGCATGTCGCCTTCCCTCTAATCTTCTATTTACAATGAAGTCACAGTAGAAGCTGCTGGTAAAGACTCTCACCAGGTGTTTGTCCAGATATGACATCTTTTCTTGCAGCTCTGGGGATTTGATGTTTGGATAGGGCATTCCCACCATCACTACACACCTGTTATCAAAAGCACAAACCCACACTGATTAGTGTGATATACTTTAAACCAGGGGTTTCAAATTTAAGACCCAGTGGCCAAACTCCAATCTGGCTCACTGCACGGTTTTAGAAAATGTGAAGGAGGGAATACATTTTATATTTTTAACTGTATTTTAATACATTTTCCTGCTTCTCTTGCTGATAAAGACCTCCCCCCATGGCCATTCAAACTACATTGAAGTAATTAAGTAATAGACAAACAATTAAATGACATAAAAGTTCTTGTTTTTTTCCCCACTATCAGCTAGAAATGTATTTTTTTTTTGAATAAAATAAAATAAAATAAAAAATAGGAAATTTTTTCTGAGAACAGAAACTTCATGTTTTATAATTACAGCACAGTCTGGGTAATGGAAAGAGTTCTGTGTCTTTTTCTTATATTAACACATCTCAGCTAAAAGTGTAGTTCTTTTCACTGACTGAAAGGCCAGTTTCAATGGTCACTTGAGATCAAAATGGGCTGAATGTGGCCCATGATGTAAAATGACTTTGACTTTCCCTGCTTTAAAACGGTGTACAACTGCTTGTTCGGCGCCCTTCAATTACCTGCCCAAATCATCGGAGAAATTGATTCCCTCACTCATCTTTCCCCCAACCACAGAGAACAACAATGCTCCTGTGAGTCCACTGCAGTCCGCAGAACACCTCTAAAGTAAAAAAGACAATCATTGTTTGGCAGTGGTAAAACACAATCCTAATGATCATCAGTTTAGTTATGAGATCGGTTGTGTCAAGAGTGCAGTTTTACCTGGATACAACGGGAAAACTCATTCAGCACCTGCTCTACCTGGTTGGCCTTCTTTGGCTCCTGAAAGATCTGAAGAGGTGTGATTAGATAATTAAGAGACTATAGGACAAGATGTCTTTTGACTCTTTTTAGTGACTTGAGTATTTACTAAGTAGTTTCCAGTAATATATAAAGCTAATGTACCTTCTTCTTATTAGCCAATCGAGTAAGTGTACCGCTGGCCTCCCAGTGAGAAATGATCCTCTTCGAGTAGTCGTAAGAAGGGAAGAAGCACACCACGCCCCCGGGAACCACGTTGCAAATGTTGGAGAGAATGCGCCCGGTCTCATCCATCTGCAAACAAACAAATGTGCATCAGTCAAATGGCACCACTGTAACCAACGAATAACAACGCAAACTTCATTCAGTATTCTGCATGTGTGAGTTACCATTCGAGGCGTGTCTCTGTTTTGGAAAGTGAACTCGAGCTCCTGACCAGACGGGCCACTGCACAACACGAGAGGAAGGATGTTCTCCGGAGGAATTACGTGACCTAGAGGGCAAAATTTCTGTTATTTATCATGCTAAATGCATTAATGCAAACTAATATTCTTATGTTATTTTCGTGCACTAATACACTTCAGTCAACCTATGCACAACCACTACCACTAAGGCTTGCATGTGTTGTGAATTAAGATCATGTTCAAATGTCACAAAATGAGTCACAGAGCACAAAACTTAACTTGTTATAGGTTGGGCTAAAGTTTGTGTACAGTGGATTAATTTATGGTTTAGTTCATGAGATGTCTTGTATTTCCTCCTCTGCTTTGCCTATAAACAATCATCCATCTAAACACATCAATTTTTGGGAGTCTTCAAAAAGTACAAAAGCTATTTCTGTAGATCTTACCCTAAGTCTGTAACTGAACAATAATAATGTAACAATACAATATAAGTAAATAACATAACTATCGTGATGGGATAAGCAGGATTTGTGCTTGTCCAGGTAACGTCGGAGTAAATCCTGAGTTTTCAGTATCATGAAGGCAGTTTGCCACGTACTGCGGGACATCTCCATGGTAACTTGTGCAGATCTAACCAGCTCCAGAGCAGACCATGTTTGAGGTAAGAGATCAAAAATTATAATAAATAAATAAATCACTGCATGCTGATCAGCTATTTCTCTAGAAAAAGTCACTATTCCCTCACACTTTTGTCTGAGAGAATAGTGACTTTTTTTAGTTTATTTCCTAATGGACATAAATAATGATGATGAATAATAAATATATATTCTTAGACACAACTTTTTTGCTTGTTGGCTACAAACAATTTAAATTATTAAGCATTAATATATGAGCCTAAAACAGGGCACCTATTTCTACTTAAGCTTTATTAATATAATAGATCTTTTCCAGGTTGCTGAACAAAGTGCTTAATATGCAAGCAGATTCACATTCCACTTTTCCTGTTATAGACAGTGACACCACTGATTCGTCTGCAGCAGCTGTGTCCCTTTCAGACTCTATTATATGTGAAACCTCTTTGTATTTTCCACATAGTATAGTTTTATGTTCTTTTGTAAAATTAGTCTCTCTGCTGTGATTGGCTATAAGCTGACACCACCTTCTTGTAAACATGCTCGTAGGTAGATTGGGAAAGCCTGGGTTAACGTATTGTGCTGACAACCACCTTCGTGTGACATCACCTGACTTCAGGAACTTATTCCTATAACTTAATCAGTCTGGGTAACCTCACTGGAAAATTAGAACTCCATCTAAATGTCTGTCATCACTTTTGTCAAGCAGTCTAACTATTCCCTTTATCAAAATTTCCCACAAACAGAAATCTTGATAATCTCGCCACTTAGCGAGAGTGCATAATAAAAACACAAAAGGGGGAGCTCCACAAAGTACTGTTGTGTTATAAAATGGGCCACTCACCACAGGAAAACTCAGTGATGCGCTCCTCTCCCACCCCAGCAGAAAACAGAAGCTCTTGTTTGAAGTCTGAAACCTACATATAACATCCTTTAGAGTGGAAAGATAAAAGATACGCAGCAAGAGCTCAGTTTATTTTTAGAAGATTTAACACAACTCACAGGCTGCATAGTTCCTCCTGCAATGATGACTGCTCTGCACTCCTTCAGCACCTGGGCAAAGTGGACTGCCGGATTCAACAGAAGGAACTTGACGCTGCTCTCCGACAAAGACCCTGTAAAATAAGCAAAGGGTGTACTTTACACTGTAATGCGTTGATGTCATAACTGTTCTTTATTTTGTGCTGTGTGTTTAAAACGGCACCTTGTTTGTGCACCACCACTCTGCCGTCAGTGTTGCTGTTAGTGAGAGCCATGAAGAAACCCTCCACTTGCATCATTGGAGATGCAGACAGGACTTTTTCCGTCTCTACGGACTCCTGCTGGTCAGCTGAAGGAACTGCACACAAAACAAGAATACAAAATAAATTTCTAAGAACGCTGAAACCCCCCCCCCCCAAAAACAAACAAAAAGAAAAACAATAACCTAACCATAAGGTATCATCACATATTATGACTTCATCCCGCACAGTTATGACATTATTGCACTGACAAAATCTGTCCACAGACAGAGAGACATGCCTGCCAAGCTACTCAAAGGCTTCTTTGTGGCAGTTTTTGCTCCCCTATAACATATACTCAGAGTCATAAGGTTAAAAACAATACCAGTCGGGTATATTGGCTGGTAAAACTCACTAAAGGCAGAGACATACTGTTCGACCTGATGTTTTATGTTGGGCTGGATTCCAGTTTGTTTGCATGTTGGAATCAGAGAGAATTTTTTTATTTTTCCATTTAAAAATGTCTACCCGTGCAACTCAAGTGCAGTTTTACAAATCCTTTTAAATTTTTAATGCACTAAATTAAAACAGTAATTATTTCTGTGCTTTAGAAACTGATTCACTGCAAAAGCTGAGTGTGCATCTGAATACTGTGAAACTTTCTGCTATCATCTACTTTAGCTCTTCTTCGTCTCAAGTGAGTCTGACCACCTTAAAGTAATCAGGTGACTTTATAAATGAGGAGGCCCCGGGGCAGACCCAGGACACGCTGGAGAGATCATATCTCTCGGCTGGCCTGGGAACGCCTTGGTGTTCCCCCGGACAAGCTGGAGGAGGTGGCTGGGGAGAGGGAGGTCTGGGCCTCTCTGCTTGGGCTGCTGCCCCCGGTAAGCGGAAGAAGATGGATAGATGGACTTTATAAATGAGCCATAAGCATTATAATTAAGAAACCACAACAAAATTCTGATTGTGAGATACTCGATTCATTTCAGACTGGAGACAAATCCAGAGTGTGCTCCGCCTTTCTCCGCCAGCAGTTTGTTTTAGAAATTGATTCTCGTACTGAACTGTTGAAATAATTTGTAAAATTTAGTATAGAATACCTAAAAAGAGCTTTTACACAATCTGCCTTTCATTTAACAGCATCAAGGAATTGAACAAGCTCCTCAAAAGAAGATGTGATGATAAAAATGAGTGTTAAACAATCAGAATAATTATTTCTATAAAACTCTAATCTTTATATGATATTGTGACGGTAGTATAACCCCTGAAGCAGGGACTATTTGTGTCTTTGTGATTTATATCTATGCTTGAATATATCATCCATTGTGTATCTACTACATTGAATATTATTACATGAATTTTTTTTTATTTCACAGTTCTGTTCTCCTGCTGAGGGGCTACAAATGGAAATTAGGCAGTAGCTAAATGTGGTAAAAATCATGTGAGATTAATTGCATTTGCTTGTATTGCCTCTTTTTACACTTTTCTGACACAACATCATGCAAAAAGCCAAGTGTAAAAAACTTTCAGAACATCTTAGATCTTCAAAAGTACTTTTGTGACTGATTAAAAAAAAACTATGTACAGTGAGGCGTTCTTTCAGTATATACACTATGCCTTCAATAATGATGCAATTCTCAGAAATATTATTTTGTCCTGAAAATTATTTAAATATTATTTTTGTGGGTAACAAAATACACAGCCGACCTGTTCCAGGGTTCTGGTTGCTCTGTAGGGTCTGAAGGTAGCGGTTTAAGCCTTCTGTGCGTCGGTTCTCCTTGTTGTTGCAGTGTGTGTGCAGAGTCACACCTGAGCCTGCATACTTCTCCACAAAACCCCCCAGCTGCAGAGAGAAAACCAGGGTGGTAAAAATTTAATTTTACATAAGTGAACTCTCAGATGTTTACCGTCTTTGTATATATGAGATAAATCACACTTACCTTCCTGCTGATCATGCTCTTCTCAAAGTATCTTTGTAACTACAGCAAGAATGACAATGAGAGCTTGTAGTTTCGATGAGGTGTGCAATTAAAATGATTGTGATTCCTAATAGAATTACCAACTACCTTAAACAAATTTATATTGTCAATCTGAGCCTTGAAGAGAAAGTTATTGATGGTGAGCATCTCTGTTCCTAGAAGAACAAAAAAACCAGATTTGTGCCTTGATATGTACGACTGCGTGTTTACAGTTTGTGGTCAGAAGTTTACACTCATCATATGTAAATGTCATGGTAATTTAGGGCTTTTAATAATTTATTAGAAGTCATTCACTCATTTGAGGATGGAATGATTATACAGCATACATCTTTGGGTGCACAAGTTTGAATTTATTTGGGATATATATCTCACACCAGGCAAGACCCCAGGTGCAGGGTGTAAGACGCTAACAAGCAGGGCATACATGGAACGCCATAACCAAGTGGGTGGCATAGTGTACAGAAACACCTGTGCCGAATACGGCCTGGAAGTCCCGAGGTAGGGTGGTAGAGAACGACCGAGCTAAGATCCTGTGGGACTTCCAAATACAGACGGACAAAATGGTGGTGACTAACCAACCGGACATAGTGGTGGTAGACAAACAGAAGAAGACGGCCGTAGTGATAGATGTAGCGGCTCCCAATGACGGCAACATCAGAAAGAAGGATCATGAGAAGCTTAAGAAATACCAAGGGCTCAGAGAAGAGCTGGAGAAAATGTGGAAGGTGAAGGTAACAGTGGTCCAGAAGAGCGCAGTTCTAGGAACAGCTAAGATACTGTGCAAGACCTTCGGTTAAATGTTAAATGTTCCTTAGCAAGTTGCATCTTCACCAGTTGATTTGGTAGCAATCAACAAGCTTCTGGTATAACTCTGGTTGAATATTTGACGACTCTTGGCAGAATTGGTACAGTTCATTTAAAATGGTTGGTTTCCTGTTAATATACAGACACAGACCTGCTGGCAGTAAATCAATGATAATCAGTAACAAGAGGTTTATAGACTTTAGCTTTGTTAAATTAAAAGAAACCGTAGAACCTTCACCACTACTTATTAAAAGTTTTAAGTGATTATACAGTATGTACACATTTGAGTATGCATGTATAATTTTTGGCCCTGTGTTCCTTAGAGAAATTCCAAAATAAATTCAAACTTGCACAACAACAACAAAATTCATTTTTTAAAGACACTAAAGATGCATGCTATACAATCACTCCATCTTGGAAAAAGGAAAGCTCAAAGAAATCATTAAAAGCCTCACATTACCTTGATATTCATGACCATGATGAGTGCGTGCAAACTTTAGACCATAACTTTATGTGTTTATCATTGACTGACCTGGTTGTGTAGTCTGGCTCTGTGGACTCTGCCCCACCTTACCTGGAAGAACAAACAGGAACAAATATCAAAATGAGGTGCATTGCAAAATTTGATTTTACTGTCCAGCTATTACCCTCGCTAAGCTTGTTGCAGACACTCACCTCCCAGCACCCGAACAAGTCCCTCAATCACAAACAGGATCTGCTTAATGTACATCAGGTTCTTTGCCTTCAATCTGCTCCTGGCATTTAAGAAACAAAAATATCAATACAAAGAAGGAGAGACTGCGATCAATTTCCGAATAAGCAAATTTTCTGACTCACTTATAGCGGTCAGCATACTGGCTGAGCTGGGAGTGAGCACGACAAAGCTGCAGAAAATTGAAACATTAGAACATCACAAGGAAGAATCGTCTCAGAAATCTGTATTTTGTGCATGTTATAGAATAATGTGTTCACCTGTGCTCCACTGAGCTCTGCACTGTGTATACAGGAGAGAGTGTCACTAAGGTTATGAGCTTCATCTATGATCAACACCTGTAAAAGATACCCCAACAACTTTTTTTTAATATCCCTTTATCACTCAGTCATTTGGTTATATTTGTATCCGTTATTTTCAGATATTACAATTGAAAAGAGAAAAAATATATTTCTTAATACTGCCAAGATATTTTAAACACTTATTTTTCTATATTTTTAAGAGAGGAAGAAGAATACCAGACATATAATTGTACCTGTCCCTTTAGCTGGACACCTGCTGCTCGTCTTGTAGCTTCATGAAGCACCATTTGATAAGGTAACACAACCAGCTACACCAACATAAACAAACCACAAAGACATCAAATGAAAACCAGATCTTGTGGGAGAAATACAGTAACCAAGTAGCTCTTGTTGACAAATCGACTGGCGACTCAGTTACCTGTGCAGGGGGAATAGCGAGACGTGTAGAGTAATAAGGACACGAGTGTGTTTCTCTGCCCAGCTTCAAAAGCTGCTCTATGTCATGAACAGCCCCCAGAACTACATCTCGCATCTGCTGCAGTGCTGAAGCCTTATTATAGGGACACACGCTCTTTGCTGGGCCTCGCTTACGTTTTACACCCTCTTCGTGATGATGCTTCTCTACAAAATGGAAGGAGAGATGAAAGAGGCTTTCTCGAGAAAAATCAATAAAGCCTGAGGTTAAAATAATTTCTGGAAGAAGAGCAATTCTTCCACAAAATGCCTCTCACCGTGCTTGTTTTTCTGCATCTCCATGCAGCGGTCATTTATGCGCTGGATGCTGCCCAGCCGCCGCACTTCTTCATTGATGCACAGATTCTGCAGAATTTTATAACAGGACAATGTCAGATGTCAGTGTCAAGAGTCACAGTTTTATTGATTGAATAAATGTAATAGTTTGTGTGCAATCCCAAGTAAAGTCTCAAGTACAGCGTCTTTGAATACTGTGTATTTCATAAAGGAAACACCCACCTTCTACATAGACACAAACTAGATTGTTCAATGTGCTATAGAAGAGAACATAACACCATTTATCTTGCATTTGTTTCTCCATTTTTTCTATCATGTAGAGGATTTAACAGGCCAATCTTCCCAGCGCTGGCTGTTGTTAGGTGCTACTTGATAGTTCTGTCAGAATCTAAAAGAACTCTTTCAGAATTAGACTGTTTCATAACTGTTCCCTATCATATCCTGTTCTGCAAATGTCTTCTTGGTTTAATATCCTCTGAAAATCAAGATCAGGTTTTTTCCTACATTTGAAAAAGCCTCTAACGGGCTGATTACACACATAAGAGTCTGCATACGTCAAAGGCAATGAACCTTTGTTAACTTATTTGTTATTTCTGACCATTTGATAAACTAAATATAGTTATTACACCTGTATAATAACAAAGCACGTTGGTGAGATTCTTTTAGCTATGCTTAAAACTTCTTTGGGTGGGAGCAGTAAAAATTCGTCTATGAAGGAAAAACTGCCAGTAGGTAAACAAACAGAAAGACTTGGTGGCGTGCTTTATGAACAATCTGTACTTTTACTGACAAAAAAAATAATAATAGAGACAAATTATACCAGTCAGTTACTTTGAGGAATTAAAGGAAATCTCTCAAGTACTCGAGCTGACAAAAGAGGCACCATGGAGAAACAGTCAAAAGCAACTTCAAGAAAAAAGTATAATCACATCTATTGAATGAATAAGTGAACAGGATGAAGAGATCCATGCAAAAGTTTACCAGCTCATGTTCATATATTGTTTGTGTTACTTTAATAAGATAAGATGTTTATGTACTCAACCAATTATGACATTTGTGTGTTTCTGTGTGTGTGTACCAATGACTGTATAAACATTTTTTTTCTACAGTAGAAAAGATTTTTATTTTTTTCCCAGTCACTGCTGGGTACATACCTGCCGTGAACCCAGTGTGACCACACTGATGTCCTTGCTAAAGGGGCTCTTTTGTACCTCGTGGACAAACTGGGCCAACTGGGAATGAGTGCGGCTGCAGTAGTAAATCTACAGATATGCATATGAACACAGTTCCACATCAGGAGAATGTCCGATGCTCATAATTATAATAATGTTCTTGTTATAAATATATCCATCCATCCAACCCATTTAACTCTTACAGCTACAACGTGAAATTTCATACCTTAGTAACATGTTCTTCAACCAGTTCATCATCCTCATCTTTTTCAGCTCCAAAGAATCTGAGGATGCAAGCAAAGAAATCCTTTGTCAATTTCAGACTCTCATTTGGATTATTTATTAATTTTACCCATTAATTCATGTCCTCACTTAGTTTATTAATATATAACTAGAGATAAACTCAAACTAACGATAACTGATGTATGATACACAAAAAAAATAAATTAAAAAAATTGAAAATTGTACCATGTTGTATTTGAACTAGCAACCTTTAGCATACTGAGAGAGGACTGGTACTCCATTCAAAATCAATGGGACTGTATTGTCAGAGAAAAGTTTAATATTTCAGAAACAAAATTTTGAAAATCTAAATAGAAGCACGCAATGCATAACTGAGCTGCTCGTTTTGGCATATGAACACTCTGTCTATGACACATGGTGCGAGACTAGTTAGCAGGCAAAGAAGAAGAAAAATAGCCAATGACAATAACATGTACTAGGACTGCTGCTTTGCAACAATCGTGCCAATGAACAAGCAAATCCACTCTGGAAACTAACAAAGACTAAACTGAACTGTAACCAAAAACTCAAGATGAATTCAAACTAATTAGAAAATATGAAACTATAACAATCAGTCTTCCTCACCTGCTCTTAATCTTTGATTCATCATCGCTCTCATATTCTGCAATGATCAGCTCCTCGTCTTCTTGATCTCCTGTTGCCTCGACCTGCTCCTCCTTACTGAGCTGAAGCAGCTTGAATGCCTCATCCTCTTCATAGCTCTATGAACAGACGAAACCATTTCATTCACTTGTATTAAATGACTTTAATATAATTTTAATATCCAAGTAAAGTTCCATTAAATGCTCATGTGCATGATGGCTCACCTTTCGCTTAACCGCATACTTTAGCTGGACATTGTTTCGGATCATTTCTAACCGTTCTTCTCTCTTCTTCCTCTTCAATTCTTCCTCCTGACACCAAACCAATCAACAATAAGCAAATGTTGAGCAAGTTAAAATTCAGACTTCACATACACTTCACATCCAAGTTTTCCTCACCTTCAACTTTGACACTAAATCACGTTCTGCTTTTTTTTGTACAAAGTCAGTGATCCAGTCCAGCTCTGCTGAGGAACTGACTGCAGAGGACTGAGCAGCATTAGTGGAAAGAGCTGCTTCTCCTTCCTGCAACAGAGCAGCTGCCTCCTGCCTCTTTCTCTCCTCATAATCTGTGAGCCAGCTCAGTGCTCCACATATCAGACTCAGTGACTTGCCCTAGATTGACATAAATAGACAAAAACACTTATTAATGAAGTCCAACAGCTTCTGCACAGATATGCTTTTCCCCATGCATTAGTACACACCGTTCCAGTGGGACTTTCAAAGATGCCAACTTTGCCTTTGTCAAGTGCACTGTACAGGGCTTGCATGAACTCCTCCTGGATGTTATAGGGCTGGTAGGGAAATGGAAACTGTGCCCTACTATTTTCCATGCTCCTAAACCTTCCTGGAAGGAAACACAAAAGCAAAGGTTAGTTTCAACATTTCATTTCTGATATGGAACTTTGACTTGCCTCTACAAACAACCGATTAAAGCACCTTTTCAATCGACGACAAATTCCTTTTTCGGCTGGGCTCATTTTACTACAATAACTAAATCTTCATTAACTAAAGACCTTACCTGTTCACCAATACGTTGCGTCAAGCAGCTAACATTTGAAACCGACAGCTTTTCAGCTATCTTTAAAGTGAAGCGTTCTGCTAGCTAGCAATCTTTCTCCTTACAATCGTATCTTTTATCGAATGACAATCAAAATCTGAGAAAATAGGACTGCCGTTTCTTACCGTATATATCATGTAAAATAATGTCTGTTTTTAGTTGTCAATTCCCGGCTATTCAACAACCGCGCCAAAAAACAGAAGTGGTCACAGAGTCTGGCCAATAGGAAACGAGCTACGAGAAGGAGTGCATGTTTTAATGTACAGTAACGTTTGTCCGGACGGGGTTGTGTGTATTTATCCACGATTTTGTCATTTACTGTAACACTGTTTGATGACAGAGAATGTCAGATAGCCTTGATATTAGCAATTTGAGTACTGACCTAAAACATTCGTAAAATAAGCATGAGTATTGCTCGTCGGATTTGCTGCCGCCTTCCAGGTAGATCCTTTAAACTATATTTAACGTCACCTACGCTGGTCCCTCCCCCCCCGGTACCTCCTAGACTGTCTGGAAAGTTCTCTGCCCTTCTTTAAGCGTCTGTGAGATGCCAGATTGCAGGATAACGTGGACTGAAGGCAACATTGCGTAAACCTCGTATTATAAGCCGATAGCAGCGTGACTGGTGAACTATAGCAAAGGACCTCTGTTGCTAGTTGGAAGTTGTGCTGTATTCTCGAGGAAGTTAAGCCAGCTAGTAAACGTTGATCAGGTTATTGCTTGCAGCACTTGATCTGAGGAGTAGTAGGGGCTTTAGCCACCGTCACTATTAGCCAGTGTTAGTTTGGATTGTTGTGCAAGGCAGAGAAGGGACAGATCAGCTTCATGACGATGACTGCAGAGGAACAAACAAGTGAAGTACAACATACAATCCCCCTGGAAGGAGAGGACATCACACCAAAGAAAGATGGGGGTGTTTTAAAGGTAAAAAATGGTGCTTGATTTGGTACTCAGCACCTAGCTAGCTGAGTGGTTAGCTGACAGCTTGTTTACTGTTCGGCTAGGTTAACGTTAGCTACCGATAGCTATGCTGTCGCATACACTGATTTAAAAAAAAAAATTCAACGAAAGCTAACTTTAATGCTAGGAACACCTTATAATGGTATGCAGCGTCACAGTTATGAGAACTAACTCAGTACCAGAATGTCAGAAACAAGACTATCTGTCAATGAAACGGTCTGCATTTCTAGAAGGATCTGGAGCCTTGAAGAAACAACTGTCATTTTATTGATGGACACATTCTATATTTCATCCCACAATGAAACACATACTGAGGGCTTTAAATATATAGGCCTTGATTCAGAAAAAAACAAGTTTGCAATTTAGTCGTTCACTAAGCGAAGTGCGTGGTGCGCGTGCAAGGCAGCGATCACAAGCATGTTCAAGAAATTGCTTTCTGATGTTCTTTGTTAAATTCTCGTCTTACCTTTTTCTCCAGGTGATCAAAAGGGAAGGTACAGGCACAGAACTGCCTATGTCCGGCGACAAAGTGTTTGTACATTATGTGGGCACACTTCTGGACGGGACTCATTTTGACTCCAGTAGAGACAGAGGAGAGAAGTTTTCCTTTGAGTTGGGCAAAGGTTAGTTTCATATTTGTTATAGCTGCACAACCAGTGCAGGATTTTCTCTACGTTTTAAAAAATGACCTTTTACTAAAGGAAATGAACCAGAATGCATTTAAGGTAACACATAACCACATGACCCCACAGAACCACAAAGGGGGTTGCTGCCCCTTGTCTCAAGGGGCAGCTTGAGACAAGAAAAGCGTTAAAGTATGAGTTTTAATCTGGGGAGATCGTGGCTCAAGAGTTGGGAGTTCGCCTTGTAATTGGAAGGTTGCCGGTTCGAGTCCCGGCTTGGACAGTCTCGGTTGATGTGTCCTTGGGCGAGACACTTCACCCGTTGTCTACTGGTGGTGATCAGAGGGCCCGGTGGCGCCAGTGTTCGGCAGCCTCGGTCAGTGCGCCCCAGGGTGGCTGTGGCTACAATGTAGCTTGCTATCACCAGTGGGTGGATGACTGGATGTGTAAAGCGCTTTGGGGTCCTTAGGGACTAGTAAAGTGCTATATAAATACAGGCCATTTACCATGTAATCTACTTTTCCCCCCCATAGGACAAGTAATAAAGGCTTGGGACATCGGTGTAGCCACAATGAAAATTGGGGAGTTGTGCCAGCTCATCTGTAAGCCAGAGTATGCCTATGGCTCTGCAGGCAGCCCACCCAAGATACCACCCAGTGCCACTCTTGTTTTTGAGGTAAGGATGCCAGTTTTCATTGTCCATTAAGTACTTTTAACTGTGTAGTTTGAGATACTGTATATCTGGGCTCCCATGATATGATAGAAATTGAGAAGTGGCTTCAATTCAGCGAGTACAAAATACTTTACAATCTTTTTGCTTCCACGTTTATAAATTACCTTTACAGTTCAGGTTACACATTGCATATTTCAGTCAGTCTGTCTCAGTTGTCTTTGCAGTGGATTTCAGCTGTGGATCATAAAATGCTTAAATTTAGCATTTAGGATAACTTAAATAATTTTTCTGATAATGCTTATCTCTTTAAGTGGTATCTCTGTGGCCAGACTTGCAAAAAAGCAAATCATGATAAGCAGTTTCACAATTTGAATCTCCACTGTGCTTATAGTTGTTGCTTCTGATGGTGTTAAAAATTGTTATACAGCCTTCTGTTTTTATTGTTTTGTATAAAACCAGTTGTTGCCTTTTCATACATTTAGAATAACTGTTGTAACCTTTTGTTTAAAGACTACAGTAAAAGAAAAGGAATAAAATACAAACCTCAATGACTGCTCCCCCACCCATCCCCTGCCCCCAAAAGAACTAATCTTTTGAGGAAAAAAATGGGAACTTTGGAAATTATATTGAAAAAGTTGTTGTTTTTTGTTGTTTTTTAATGAAAAGATATACATTTTTTGTCACATGTCTACACACTTATAGGTGGAACTGTTTGAATTTAGAGGGGAAGACATAACTGAAGAAGAGGATGGAGGAATCATCCGACGCATTATCACTAAAGGAGAGGGATATTCTAAACCTAATGAAGGAGCAGCTGTTGAAGGTAATGCATCCAGAAATGTGTTTGATACAATTAATTTCATGTTTTATATTTCCATCCTTGGAAAGTAGAGTCCCTGGTTAAATGTGTTTAAGTAAGAGCATATTGAGGATAATAATCTTTTCAAACTAAGGGATCCCACAGGGAAAATGAAACGGCATTAAAAGAAACAGCGTTGCCTTTGGTTATGGTCTTATATGTCCCTTATTATGTTTTAACAAACCCACTGAATAATAATTCAGTAACCGATTGGTTTTGTCACCAAGAGTGGACTTGCAGACATAACGAAGAAACTACTTTCTCCTGCGCCCTTGTCACAAGGGGTCGCTAGAGCAAGTAGCTTTGCATGTTTGATTTGTGAGTTTTACACTTCTAGGCGATTTGTGACTCCAGCTGGAGTTAAACGAGCAGCATTTTACTTGCCAAGTCACTGTCTAAACCACTACAATATAGAGCTATTCAAAGGTAAACCCGCAGATATCCACTTTCAGTAATGGTCCAGGTGATGTATTGGGCTTGATTAAAACCTCGATTATACTTTCCAAGTCTGCGAGCTTGAGTGGCGTTCACTTTTGTTTTGTTTCCCCCCCCCCCTTTGGACCAACTGTGTTACAATGCTGTGGTTGCAGCCATTCCACAACTCTCTATGAATGGTACTTATGGCCATTAATCAATGGTCTTTGATCAATGGTCATGACAATTTGCATATTAATGATCACTCAGTGGGCTAGTTTCAATCATTGTGCAAAGGTACTGTTTATAAGCGTGGTTAAACCTGCAATCAGCTGAGACTGAAGAGCTCACATGGATGAGTGACGAAATGTTTCTCCAACTGAAACCGCTACGTCTAGATGAACAAAATCAACTTTTTGGGAGTTCGGGGAGAATTTACATTTCAGCCCACCGAATATGCACACAAGTATAACAGGAATGTCTACTCGGGTCTCCAGCTCATCAGTGTGACTGTAAATGCTCAAAGATGACTGCAAGACAGTTTTGGTTTCTTTAAGAAACTGAGTCTGTAATCATACAAGTACTATTACACGGAATTCTTAAGGTTCCTAAAAATGAGACCGAATGATGGAAAAGAACTTCACTGACACTTTAGAAATGGCTGACTTTGTAACGTGGCAGTCTGCCAAGAAATCAAGACTGAGTGGGACATGAACTAACCTGAACATTTTCTGTCTTCTTCAGTAACCGTGATAGGGACCTGTGATGACAGTGTATTTGACGAGAGGGAATTAAAGTTTGAAATTGGAGATGGCGAGAGTTTCGGTTTGCCAGCTGGAGTCGAGAAGGCTATCATGGCTATGGAACAGGGAGAGGAGGCGGTCTTCACAATTAAACCTAAGTATGTTCACATGTGCAAATTCTTACCACTAACTTCATAGTGGTGACATTTTATGTTCATATGAAGTCAGTCCAATTTTAGACTCTTGAACTGCTTTTTCTGCAGCTCTCAAGCATCACTTTACAGAATATTTCCACAGTTTAAAGATGCTGCTGTAATAGTAAATAAACATTAATTCCTGCCAGAATTGGCTACGTGAATTTTTAACTGGATAGTTGTGCAGTCTTTGGTTTTAAGCTAAGTGACAGCATGAGTAATGACTAATATAATCAACTATAACGGTTAAGCTTTGCAATGTGATTCAACAGGAAAATGCCTGCAGAATTATCTGTTTTTTTGCAGTATCCAATACCTTAACTTAATTGGTTTTTAAGTTGCACACCAGCTGTGATTTTTTTGTGCCCTTTACTCATGACTAATGATATGTTTGTCTGATTTGTTAGATATGGTTTCGGGAATGCAGGAAACGCAAAGTTTAACATTCCTGGTGGAGCGACATTGCAGTACAAGATTAAACTAACAGCCTTTGAGAAGGTAAGGTGGGAGTGTGTGGCAAACACAGCAGCACTTTAGATGCTCATTTACAATATTTTCATCTAAAAAGGAAAATGTGTTCTTTCTATTTTAGGCTAAGGAATCATGGGAAATGAACACCTCAGAAAAGCTGGAGCAGAGCAGCATTGTCAAAGAGAAGGGAACACAGTATTTTAAGGTTTGTTTGTTTTTTGTTTTAAATTTAAGAAGTGATCCTGTCTTGGATTTCAAGATGTTTTGTGATGCAATGGTTTATATGCTTCAGGAGGGAAAATATAAGCATGCATCAGTGCAGTACAAAAGGATTGTGTCATGGCTGGAACATGAATCTGGTTTGTCAGAAGAGGACGATAAGAAGGCGAAAGCACTGAAGCTCGCTGCACACCTGAATTTGGCCATGTGCTTCCTTAAACTACAGGAGCCAAACAAAGCCCTGGAACACTGTGACAAGGTATCTGGTAACTGTTCTTTGTCTTAAAGCAGCACGTGTGTGTTATCAGTGGTTTGTCTTGGTTTTTGCTTAAATGCTGAAAATATTTAATTATATTTATGTAATTATATATAATTATGTTATAGTCGATGGAGTTGGATGCATCCAATGAAAAGGCGTTATTCCGAAGGGGAGAGGCACTGTTTGGAATGAACGAGTTTGAGAAGGCGAGAGATGATTTCCAAAAAGTGGTTCAGCTGTATCCTGCCAACAAAGCTGCCAAGAACCAGGTATAACACAGTGTGCCTTTGATGTGTAATTCAAGCAGCTTTCAACATTGAAATTTAATCAATCTAAGATAATATTTAATTTTTAAAAAATTCTGTCTCTCTCTGTTATGGCAGTTACAATTCAGTTTGGTTAATGTGTCTAATTTTATTGTACTACCATCCAAAATGAGACAGGTGAATGTTTAATTGAGTTTAATTTATTTTCATGGTGTAAACGAAAGTTTATACTAGATTCATTTAGTAACAAACCAGGATGGGTGAACAAATATGACTGTGCTTCTGGGATTGAAAACGCTGTTTGTTTTTTGTTGTTTTTTTAGGTCACTGGTCATAAAACAACTGTTCTGCATATCCAGACTTTTAGTTGTTGTTGTACCCATAACATATCTGGAAATACAGCAGGGTGACGTCTGCTTTATGTTCTTCCAGGTGCTACTTTGTCAGAAACGTATAAAGGAGCAGCACGAGAAGGACAAACGCATCTATGCCAACATGTTCCAGAAATTTGCCGAGAGGGATTCAAAGGTGATGGATCTGTTTACTAAAACAGCCACAAGAGGGTGTGATAAGCACGATTTTAGGTTTGGCAAAAAGTGAAGGTGTGCTGAACTGGTTTGTGTCTCGTGAACAGAAAGAAGCAGAGAAGGGGAAGAGTGAGAGCGTGGAGAACGGAGAAGATGCGATGGAGGTTGAAAACGGAGAAAAGGAAGCTGGGGGTGAAGCAAAAGCGTAGATGAAGACGCAGCTTTTTTTTTTTTTTTGGTCTTCTTTTTTTTCCCCCTTTCCTATTCTCTTCTGCGGTTCATCTGTACTTCAGACTTTTGTAACTCTGGCCATTTGTGTTTAAGGTGTGATTGTTTGTGTGTGAGAATGAGTATGTCATCGACAGCACTGACCTTGGGCACGTCCTCGCTGGCTTTCTTCTTGTTGGGCTTTTTGCTGTGGCAGCTAGCCGACTGTGGGGTGGGGTGTTGTCAGGCACCGTGGGACGTGGATTTAAATGAATTGTATGCTACAGTCCTA